GTCTGCAGACACATACACACAAGACACATACATACACACATTTATGATATCAAGCATTTTCCTTATTACAAATTTACGTTAACAGTAAAAGGATGTAATCGTTAAAATGAAACCAATAACTCAATCCAATTACAGACTTGGAGAGAAGAAAAAAAAAAAAAAAAAAAAAAAAAAAAAAAAAAAAAAAAAAAGACATTTTAGTAGGTATGAATTGATTGATTCATTGTTAGAGCAAAGCACTGATAACCCTTCTCTGCCATACAAAACTGTTGATAAACATGCATCATTTGAATTTGTGTGTGTGTTCTTTATTCTTTAGATATTACGAATAAATTAACAAAGCATTACCGTACTACCATAGTCATATGTTAACTCGTACTATGTACAAAATGTACTACACTCCTTTCACTATACTCATGTGCATTTGCAGGGTTTCACCTCCATTTTCTGAACCCCACCACCTAAGCATTATTCAACAGGTATGATGCATTCCCAACACAGATTGTGCAGTACAGTGCAGTATGTATTTATATTTTTGGTAATGTATAGTATTTATATTTTAATTCCTATGCAATAAACCCTCTTATGAAGTGACACTGACACTACACAGTGCAATTTTGTCTCAGTGCAACTGAAAAAAACTCCTTGTTTTTACAAAACACTTTAAAAAGTCTTGGTGAGCATGGTAGCATAAAGTAACATGCAGAATCTTAGTAGTCTACACCATAGAATTTTTCCCCTTCCACCCAAGTTGACCCTACGGGTCAAGTGTTTGGAGAGGAACAGCTCTTGCCATTCCCCACTGACATCCCACACCATTTACAGTTGCTTTCTGAGAGTATTGTGCATCTAATGATTTTGGATCTTTTCATTACCCCTATCTTATCACTGGATATTAACCAGTGATGCTGGAGGTGCCAAAAAAGAATAAGCATGAATAATGAGCGGTATTGAAAAAAGCGAAAATTTTTAATATGCTCCTGGGTGGAACACGTGTGATGTAGACTGCCAGTAATTATGTCTGAGAAATACACCATCCATAGAATTAGACAATGAAAAGAAAACAAATTGTGTAATGAGTAGTGCAAGTTGTGAAGTGATGAAAAAGAATGTCAAAGAAGTCAATACTGAATGGTAAAACAGATCAGAGATACACTGCAGAATACTTGAGTACTGTGGTAAAACTATCAACAATTAATTTACAATTCTGCATCCACATCAACATAAAAAAAAAAATAACAGATATCCCTCTCAGCCCAGTAGGGTCACATCAACCCCCTCCACACTTCCAAGTCAACAAGCAATGACAACTAGGTTATAAGATAAACTGAATTAATCTGTACATAGTAAAATACTTAAAAATAAAATTGTTTGGTAAATTTGGAGGAATCCAGAACACAACCCTAATTTCCCCATATGTTCCTCGCCTCACATGCCACTAATTTTTACTAGGCGCTGATTTTCATGCACGTCTCTCCTCCCCTCCCCCGTAGGGTCACATCAACCTCCCTCCATGCTTCCAAGTCAACAAGCAATGACAACTAGGTTATAAGATAAAATGAATTAATTTGTACATAGTGTACTTAAAAATAAAATTGTTTGGCAAATCTGGAGGAATCCAGAACACAACCCCAATTTCCCCATATGTTCCTCACCTCACATACCGCTAATTTTTAATAGGCGTTGATTTTCATGCAAGTCTCCCTCCTCTCCCCCGTAGGGTCACATCAACCTCCCTCCACACTTCCAAGTCAATGAGCAATGACAACTAGGTTATAAGATAAACTGAATTAATTTGTACATAGTAAAATACTTAAAAATAAAATTGCTTGGCAAATCTGGAGGAATCCAGAACACAACCCCAATTTCCCCATATGTTCCTCACCTCACATACCGCTAATTTTTACCAGGCGTTGATTTTTATGCACGTCTCCCTCCCCTCCCCCGTTATGAGAGAGTTTACTGTATAAAGTTACCCTGCAGCACCTCCTGCTTTAGCAAAATGCACTTGCTCACCATCCCCTATGCTCTATTAGTTTCTTAAATCTTTTTTTTTCAACCTTGTTGAGTTTTCCTTTATGCCCACCCATCCTGGACTAACCTTAGTCTTGAGACTATGTCACCTCTAATCCTTCATTTCTCCAGTGTTGAGCAATAGTTCCTCCAAGTCTGTCCTATCAGCTCATGTCTTTTATCTTAGGAGTTCGACTGGCAACACATCTTTTAATATCAGACCTTTCTTATATTCTTGAGACGAGTATCCCAATTCTAGGAGCCCGTGTACAAAATATTTTGACAATGTTATTGAGAACTCTTAACATATTTAAGAATGTTCCAGTTTTAGCCTCTGATATTATGTCACATCCACTCTTATTAAGGATGAAGTTGAATAGTTTTTGAATAGTTCTTATTCCTGTGTTATTTAGTTTCCAATTAGGAGGTAAGGTCTGATACAATAGTACACTATAATGTAAAAAAATTGAAAGAAACTTTAATATAAAAGCAATAATGTAAACAATTTAATAGAAGCGCATCAACAGACAAGGTAGTCAAAATCGTAATTCGTGCTTTACAGCACTGCTATATTATTTTATTACCCTATTCATGGAAAGTCCTGCTATACTATTATTTATGAAAAGCCTTGCTATATTATATTCATGGAAAGCACTAAGGCCTGCACTGCCATATATTATTATTATTATTATTATTATTCAGAGAAAGTAGTAGACAGCAATACTATAATTATTACACAGAAATAATAAATATAGCTAAAACCAGAACATCTATATTTTCATACTCACGGAAAGTACTATAGGGAGCATTAAAATAGTATACTAGCTACATTCTGCTGATAATTTATTAAAGTTGTTGTTAAAGATGCCTTTCTATTTAGCTACTTTTTAATAATGTAATTATTTCCTCCAAATATGCTGGAAATCTAGACTTGCAGCATTAATGCTTATACATATTATAATTAACTTTAAATTTTATTATTTAAAAGCAATATAAAAGGTTATTTTAAAATTGTTGACGACAGAATGTATACATGTATATTGTATCCCCACATTTTCAAAAGAAACAGAGGTAGGATTATGAGGTCATTGAGTACATCATGAAATTCAGTTACCCCTGTAATTTTTACATGCAAATTTATCAATGTACAGTTATATATTGTGGATACAAGTATATATTGTAAGTTTATTTTTTAGTTTTCTTTTGATAAAAATAATAAAATAACGGGGGTATACCATTAGTTTACAAGTCATTTTTCTTGCAACAGCTAAGCTTTCCCCACTTTTATTTTTAATAAAATACTTTACAATTTAATGATATAATAATTTTTAACTTGGTTACTAACAAAACTTGAATTTATTTTTATATCTGATGATAATAACTTAGAAGTGAAACCCTATGTACATACATACTGTATATGCAAATCCATATTATTTTAAAAAGATCTTTATATAAATATAGTATATTATTAACAGACCATTAACAGAATATAAATTGACTACGTTGGTAAAGTCATAAGTTTTCAGATTTCAATGTCCTGTAATAATGCTTAATAAAATTTCTCAGCCTAGAAAACACTACACAAATTAATGATAAATAATATAAAAGTGACAGGTAAATTTCTTTGGATGAATAGTCTATATGAATAACATAAAAAAAAATAAGTATAATTATTATTAATTACAGGAAATACTAAGTACTGGTAGTGTCCTAAATAGTATTAAAATAAATACACAAATAAGTTTTTTCCGTAAGTTCCAAGATATACACTGCATGTTAATTAAGCATAAAAGTCATTTTGAAAAGTATGCCAGACTTAGGATAAACAGTTAGCGTCACTAATCTAAGCCACATAAAATATTAAGCCGAGTGCTGCATTAATGGCAAATTTTACATAAACACAGAAACTCAAAATTAATTTAAATTTTAGCAGCACCAACGAGACTCAGCCTATGCAAATCCAACTGGACTTACAGAAATCAAGAAATCAAGGACCCCAATGGAAATAAGTCACTTAAGCTTTTTTTATCCTAGGTAATTTACACGTTAAACTATGTATGATAATTGTACTTATGTATACCTGTACCAAAATAAACTTACTAAATATACACACACTATACTACTGTGCATCCCAACAGTGTTCGGTTTGATAACCTCAACTGTACGTATTCTCAATTCTAGTATCCAAGGTACTCTAATGCATATTGTATAATGACAATAATGACATGCAAACAATCAACCTAAATACACTCACTCTAAACATACCACCTTTATTTACATTTCCAAAAACTTACTGCATTTGCAAACCAAGCATCCCAAATGCAGTCAACCCACAAACAATACCACGCAACACTCAAAACCCTTAAAATTTCTTAAGAATGATATTCCAGCTCAATTCCCAGCCACAAAGACTAACAAAATATAGAAAAATTAATACACTTAAACAGCTTCATACAAACTGGTGCTATTACCACTATGACCGCATGATTTCAGTTTCCATATAATAACTTTCGAGAACTATAGAAACTATAATTGTGCTAGTATGCTTCCACAAGAAATACTGGCTTACTGACTTGATATAACAATAAAACATTAACTTTATTACTAACATAATGCTAAATATTACAAAAAGTAACATACGTATATTAATCATGCATATATCTGAAGACTTACGTTTCCCTATTAGACACAAAAGGAAAATACAGTATTGATGATCAAGCAGTATGGTTGCATTGTATGTATTGTGGCTGATAAGGATACAGATTAGTATATTGCTTCTGTGTATGAGATTACAAACTAGATTCTAAGTGGTTGCCTACTTGACCACGACAGTCATGCTATTTCAGTTAGGGTTATCAAATGAGCTATTCACAAGTATGATGGAGTCATACTGGAATGACAACTACTGACACTGTGATGACTAGAAATGCTTGAAATGTAATAATCACAAAATGATGAAAAAAAAAAAAAAACAATCTTCACGTTACCTTGGTCTTCTAGCACTGCTCACTCAAGACCTTGGGTAGGTGAACTTGTTTGAAGCTAAGTTTCATACAAACAAAGTATAAAAATCACTTTAGTTACTTGCCAATATCTTCTGAAAGACAACAATTATACAATACTGTAATGACTTTTCTCAAGTGTATTGTCAGTATAGACAACACATTCACTTTCACAATCGACACATTTATTATCGCCTGGTCTCACTTCTTGAGCACTAAACTTAGAAAATTATTCTCTGCTTGAGCCTTGTCAATATGCTATTAACTCTACATTATAAACAAATTAAAATAGTGGTACCAAATTAGAAAATACAAGTACCTGTAATGCCAATGGGTAATGAATCGCAAGCAGATGAAAGCATCAAGCACTCTTGCTTGGGGCGGCCGTCCCTTCACCAAACTCTGGGAAACAAACTTAATACTTGATGTAACTATTTACTAAACACACAAATGTCTCTTAAGAGTTCACTTCAAAGTTGTAGGATCAAATGATCACACTGCCACTCGCTTTCGATAACATTATCCCGGTGGTACATCCAAGCAATGACACAAGACAAGTTTTCGCTCACTAAAACACTAGAAATGAGTGACACATTTGTAGAACACTTTGAGCTAGATGGGTTAAGATTGAGTTAGTTAGTGAGGGAATGTGTGGGAGTGTATGTGAGCGGCACACGAGCACAAGTAGTGGGTTGAGCGGGAGCGGTGCAGCAAGCATCCCCCTGGAGTAGTGGGCAGTGGGGGACTGATGGTAGTGGTGGCGCGGCCACACTATGCTGCTGCTGCTGCTGCTGCTGCTGCTGGCTGCTGCTGCTGCTGCTGCTGCTGCTGCTGCCGCTGCTGCTGCTGCTGCTGCTGCTGGCACAGATACCACTGCTTGCCTCCCTCAACCACCACTCTCACACTTCTTGTCACCTCCACTCAGCAATCAATACAAGCAGTGTGTGTGTGCTTGCAGGAGGCTGGTAGGAGTGGTTGTTGGTGGTGGGCCTGTAGGGTATGGCATGTCGCGGGCGTACAGTGTGTGGGCGTGATACACTAGTAGCAGCAGGAGCAGCAGCCACCTAGCCGCGGCACTCCTCACCTTGGCCGCTGCAACACTGCAGTGCCGCCTCCACCTTATCTCCGCACGCAAAACTCCCTACGCTCACCCCGCCGCGTTACCTGCACCCGCCACCCGCGCTACCTCCGCCCTCAACGCTACTTCCCGCCCCGCCAATGCAACTCCAACTGCAATTGCATGCACGCAAAAAAGTCACTTTAAGACCCTGAACAATTTAGCTACGACGTACTCCGTAAGACACCCCGTGATACTTATATCAACAGCGCACAAATAACACCTATACAACTTCGTAAAGTACCTACAATACTTACCCACACAGTGAAAACATTAAATATTTATAAGTTGCAATGCATTTGTCGAAATCTTACCGGAAACTTTCAACTCCTCTATCAAGAGTCAAGCTTCTTAAGACTTCCTGGAATCTTTATAGCTCAATAGACGACAGAAGGTAGAACAAGTGACGAGCGCTCTCACGCCCCATAGCTCGTCACGGAGACGCCTCGATACTTTCTCGGAGCCCAACACCCATTTACGTGCTCACTGTGCTTGTAACTCGAACCCAATTGCTCTCCCTATATTACACCCGATGTTTGAATCGCGCCATACAACGAAGGATAAGACATTTCTAAGAATTTATCAAATGTGTAGCGTTGTCGTTTGATTTTCTAAGATGCTAGAGCACTCAGGAGCGAAGCCTCCATGCATGACACAGCAGCAAACAGGAGTTACAGCCTGTGTTATTAAAGCGCAGGTTCTTCCACCTAACAGGTGGAGGCCTACACAAGAGTAGCCATACTCCATTTAAGAACCTAATATTATTTGCATAAAACCTAATTAAAGAAGCCATATAATGAAAGCAAACACATCAAGAGTAAATTTACACTCGCCGTTAAAACGTAAATTTATATTATAAAGAACAGATATTCTTAAATAACTACTAAAAGTTTGTCAGGCCTCTGGCAATCGGTACTCTGAAGCTGATTTGCTAAGGCGTAGACATGTTTGTTACACGTTTACACAATATAATATTTAGGCAACAACGTTCATTGGAAATTGCTTTTTCTTTGACATCTGGAGGAGAGTGAGCCTACATACATGTCCACCGGGGAATTCAACGGCTACCAGGAGAGTGAGGGGTGCAAATAGCCGAGTAAATGGTAGGTAGCAACCCGGCTGGTGTCAACATGGGCGTATGGCTTGCACGTGAAGCCAGGAGGAGGAGGAGCTAGGGTACGACCGCCCACCCACCCAATCTCCGGGGGTAGGTACACCCGCCCACCCAATCACCGGGGGTAGGGTACACCCGCCCACCCAATCACCTGGGGTAGGGTACACCCGCCCACCCAATCACCTGGGGTAGGGTACACCCGCCCACCCAATCACCGAGGGTAGGGTACACCCGCCCATCCGATCACCGGAGGTAGGGTACACCCGCCCACCCACTCAATGACAGGAGCAAGGGTACGACCGCCCATCCACCCACTAAGAATAAGGCACGCTTGACCATCCATCTGGGAAGGGGTATTCTCACCATCCTACCCTCCAGGGATAAGGTATGCCCACCAACACACCCACTTGGACTAAGAAACCCCAGGTTACCTGGAGTAACCCTCCAGTAAGGGGTGTTGGTGGGCATACCTTATCCCCACCAACACACCCACTTGGACTAAGAAACGCCCACCCACTTACAGGGGCTAAGGTACGCCCGCCCACCTACAGGGGCTAGGGTACGAACGCCCATCCACCTACAGGGGCTAGGGTACGAACGCCCACCCACCTATACGGGCTAGTGTACGAACGCCCACCCACCTACAGGGTTAGTGTACGAACGCCCACCCACCTACAGGGCTAGTGTACAAATGCCCACCCACCTACAGGGGCTAGTGTACGAACGCCCACCCACCTACAGGGCTAGTGTACGAACGCCCACCCACCTACAGGGGCTAGTGTACGAACGCTCACCCACCTACAGGGGTTAGTATACTAGCGCCCACCCACCTACATTGGCTAGTGTACGAACGCCCACCCACCTACGAGGGCTAGTGTACGAACGCGCATCCACCTACAGGAGCCAGTGTTCGAACGCCCACCCACCTACAGGGGATAGTGTACGAACGCCCACCCACCTACAGGAGCTAGTGTTCGAACGCCCACCCACCTACAGGGGATAGTGTACGAACGCCCACCACACTCGCCGGGCTAGGGTACACCCGCACACTTGCTGTATTATGGTGCACCCACCGGAGGTATTGTATACCTACCCGCAGGGGTTCTGGTCCACTTACTGAGGCTATGGTACTCCCATCCACCTACCTTTCTGCTAAACACAGATCTTTACCGGAAAAAATATTATTATTATTACGTTTATGCCAAAATATCGGTATCGGAATCGACGGATATCAGCGATTTTTATGGTATAGCTGGAAAAGCTGCCGATACCAGCCGATGCTTTTCAAATATTAACTTTACATGCGTGCTTGAAAAATATTAAAATTAACATTTTACCTCACGATTGTGAGTTATATTCTCTCTAATTTTAATTCATCTCTCTCTCTCACTCACACACTGGCAAGCGACGTAGTGGAGGCAGGAACCGTACATAGTTTTAAGATGAGGTATGATAAAGCTCATGGAGCACGGAGAGGGAGGACCTAGTAGCGATCAGTGAAGAGGCGGGGCCAGTGCTATGAATCGACCCTCTGCAGCCACAAACAGGTGAGTACGCACAGACACATTAGGTGAGTACGCACAGACACAGACACAGACACAGACACAGACACAGACACACGCACACACACACAAGGTGGATAGGGACAGGATGTTTCAGGGATGGGACACAGCGTCAGTGGGTCACAATTGGAAGTTGAAGACTCAGATGAGTCACAGGAATGTTAGGAAGTATTTCTTCAATCAGAGTTGTCAGGAAGTGGAACAGTCTGGGGAGTGATGTAGTGGAGGTAGGATTCATACACAGCTTTAAGAGATAGAATAAAGCTCATTGAGCAGGGAGTGGCCCTAGTAGCGACCAGAGAAGACTCAGGGCCAGGAGCTGTGAATCGACCCCTGCAACCACATATAGGTGAGTACAAAAAAAGGACTAAAGGTGATATATTAAAAATACTGAGATGAATTGACAGGGTGGACAAGGACAGATTCTGGATTTTTCGAGAGACAGGAATTGGGGACATAGGTCACAGCTTGAAGTTGAAAACACAGATGAGTAACTGGGGTGTCAGTAAGTATTTCTTCAGTATTGTAGTTGTCAGGAAGTGGAACGATCTGGACAGTAGAGTGGCGGAAGCAGGATTCACACATAGCTTGAAAAAGAGGTATGATAAGGCTCTCGAAGCTTGGAGAGAGTGAACTCAGTAACGGCCAGGAACCGAGACTCGATCAGTGCTACCACATATAGGCGAATACAAATAGGTTAACCCGCGCGCAAAAGCCCAATCCCACATACACACCCACCCACACCCACCCACCCACACCCACACACACACACACACACATACACATACAACGAGCGGGTCCACAGGGTCGGTCCTAGGACCATGCTATTTTTGGATATGTGAACGACTGACGGAAGGGTTAGACTCAAAGATGTCCCTGTTTGCAGATGATGTGAAGTTTGAGGAGAATTAAACATGATGAGACCAGCGGACTTCAAAGAGACTGACAGATGGAACCTGGTCCAGCACTGGCTTTCGAATTAATCGCCAAATGCAAAGTCATGAAGAAGTGGAAGGGCACAGAAGACACAGACAGAGTATAGGCTAGGTTGGCCAAAGAGCAAACTCACTCAAGGGAAAGATCTTGGTTAGAGTATAACCGAGATGTCTCCGAGACACATCAATCAGATAACTGCGCAGCATAATGGGCCTGGCAAACCTGAGACAGCATCCGACACTAGTAGAATCATTCAAACACTGTACACGGTGTTAGTCAGGCCCATACTGGATAGACAGCACCTGTTTGGAACATCGCGGCACTTGATAAGAGCACGTGAAATAAGAAAGTACAAAGGGTTTGAAACAAAGGTTAGTTCCAAGCTAAGGGAATGTCTTGAGAAAGATTAAGGGAAATCGGCTGACGACTGGAGGACAGGAGGGTCAGGGAGACATGATAACGCATAAATACTGCTGTGGAATAAGACAAGTTGACTAGGACAGGATGTTCCAGGGAGGGGACACAGAAACAAGGAGGCCACAATTGGAAGTAAGACAAATGAGTTCAGAGAGAAGTAGGAAGTATTTTTTCAGTCTAAGTTGTAAGGCAGTGGAATAGCCTAGAAAATGACGTAGGAGGCAGGAACCATAGCACAGTTTTAAGACGAGGTTTGATAAGCTAATGGAGCGGAAGGAGAGGGTCTCGTAGCAACGTGAAGAGGCGGGCCAGGAGCTAGGACTCTACCCCTGCAACCACAAATAGTGATACAAATAGTGGTACACACTGGCGCTAATGCCGCCTGGCAAATCTAAGTTTGACCTTCAGAAATCTCAACGCAGTCTTTCTGGGCATTTTATACAACATATGCCAGTCTCATCTTGGAGTACAGAGCAACAGTATGGAACCCACACCTGAGGAAGCATGTTAAGAAACTACAGAAAGTAAAGACATACGCAACGAGGCTTGTTCCTGAGTTAAGGGGCTTGAGTTATGAGAAGAGGTGAATGGAATTGAATCTAACGACATTGGAGGCTGGAAGAACCAGGGAATATATGACAACAGTATATAAAATACTCAGGGAGAGGCTATTTGAAAGGCGAGAATCTGGAACATGGGACACAGATAGAGAGTAGTGGGAAGTGATTTCACAAACAGTAAACAGCATGGGTTTAGAGATGACAAATCTTGTGTTACTAATCCGCTAGAGATCTTTGACAAAGTAACAGAAGTGAGACGGGACAGGGATGAGCAGCTTGCATTTTCTTGGACTACAAGAAAAGTTTTTGATACTGTATGTCACAAGAGAATTGGGCAAAAACTTGGGGTACAGGCAGTAATAACAGGGAAAATATTCTAGTGGATCAAAGAATACCTTAACAGAGGG